TGGTGGTACAAGGCATTAAAGCACAGAACTATGAGGCTCTCCACAGCCACTGCAGCATGAGTTCAACCCCTGGAAAGGGAGCTGAACCATACATGGCACAGCAGACCTTCCCTGTCTCACCCACTGCTCTGCTCAGCAGTCTATTTCAGTATATCCACCTGTCCTGCTCCCTACTCTGGTGAATCCTCTCATTCCTTAATCCCACGTCTGGCCTCCACCCCAGCTATTGTAATCATAAATAAATAAAATAAGTCTTTTAAAGAAAAAGTAGATGGGAGTAGATTAGGAATAACAGAGGAAAAAAAGACATACAAAAGTAAATGTTATAATAGAGGTGAGTATCAGTCTAGGAAAGTCCCAAATTGATATAAAGGGTGTGTGGGAAAATGGGACCCCATTCAGCACATCTCCGTACATTCCTCTCAATTTTGCTATAACCTAAAGCTTCTCTAAAAAAATAAGTCTCTTTTAAAAAAACAGTGAAGGAGTAGGGCCTGCAAAAATTTAGGAAAAGGGCTTTCTAGGTCCATGTAATATGAGAAGGAAGGTAATTAGAACCCATGTAGGGGAAGGAAGAAGAAGTCTCAAGACAGACTTTGTAGGCTACAGAAAAACATCTGGATTTTACTCTAAATGAGATGAGAGGCTTTGCAGTGAGTTGAGGGAAAGTGTAAAAAAAAATCATTCTAGCTGCTATGAGGGAAACAGACTGTGGGATGGGTGCTTTCAAAAAGTCCTGATGAAAGAAAACTTCCTTTGTAATATTATTGTGGGTGTACTTACTCTTTAGATTCCTGGGTTCTTTTAGTAACATGCTGTACCACTGTATCATAGCCAGATTCCTCACCCTGATTTGGATCAGATGTCCATTTTTCCATTTCTTCTTCAATCATAGACCCCAAAGTGTTGCATATATGCTGTCTAAGGTATTTCACAAATTCATAGCTGAAACAAATATTTTTAAAATATCATGAACTTACCATAGCCAAAAACAAATTAACACAGAAAAATTTATAACACATTCATATTTCTTTCCCTATTAATAACTTATTCTGTTGAACTAGAATTAAGAGTCATTTACCCTAAACTGTCAAACTAATCTTTTAAACTTGATTAATTGGTAAAGATAATCATTTACAGATGACCAGGGACAGGAACAGAGAAAGAGGGCAAATTTCAGGACTAACTCAACCTTTATTGTGTTAAGAACCTTTTCACAGGTTTTATTTTTATCTACTATCTTTAATATGTGATGTTTAAGGGTGAAGAAAGCAGTTGTTAAGGGTTTTATTTTTTACAATTACTCAAGATGATAAGGAAAACTATACCAGAAAAATAGTAATGATTAAAAAGAATAAATATGAAAAGATTAAGCTACAATCATCAGAAGAGTTTTTGTATACATTTTGAAAGTAGTAATTGACCTGAGTTCACAGCAAAAGTACAGGTTTGGAGTAAAAATGCCTGAGTGCCAGCTTCACTTCTAACACTTCATAACTCTGACTCTGGACAAGTCTCAGTTTTTTCATCTATTATCTGGCAAAGATGTATACCTAATTCATATTATTATTCTAAATTAAGAAGGCAGTAGACAAGAAACTTAGACTTTGCAACCATAAATTTATCCCCGACTCCCACAGCTTCAATTTAAGATTCCACACAAATAGGTGGTTTCTTTAATTTTTCCTTTAGTCAAATTTCTCTAGAATGTCAGACCAAAATGAGCTACTTGCTGGACGAGGCTTCTTCATGTGCTTTCATTGTATTGAAGTCAACATAATCACAGTACAGTTACATTTGGATTCTCACTGTCATTGCGGGGTTGTTATATTGTGCAGGAAGCTCTAGGGAATTGTCGTACCTTGTGCACAGATATTTCATTGGGGTGTGGAGAATGCCAAGCACCCTAATAAAATATAGAGCAGATCTGTGGAATATGAGCATCCAGATAAAATGTGTCAGCTGTGGAAGTTGACTGCACATTCTGTTCAGCTTTGTGTTAGTACCACTCACCATAAATGGTTACTTAAGTCTATGACTTCATGTGTTCAATTAAAAAAAAATTAGCCATATTTTAACCTCAAATCCCCAGATGCAAAAAAAATCAGAAATAATTTAAAAATTGTCCAAATATGGAGCAAACTCCCTAATATAGAGGAGGAAAAAAGCCATGAAGTTGATTATGGGGCAGACTGGGATGCATATAATGAAAAGATAAACAGAATCCAAAAGGATTCCAAGTTAGATGGTATTTTTGAGAAGAGAAACTGTGTAAAAACTTTAAAAAAAAAAAAAGAGCGTTAACAATGCTTGGAAAACAGCAAAAACCTCGCTCAGCTTATATAGCTTATATTTTTTATTATCTAAAAGGTTCCAAGACAAACAATGGTTTATTAGAGGTAAAAAAGACATAATGAAAACTAGAAAACTCTTTCCAGGTCTCCAAAGCAAGAATATATTCAACATTCTGAAATGATAAATTTCATTATTACTTTGAAGTGAGGTTTAGGAAATAACAAATGATAAAACTGGAAGAAATGATCTTCTACATAATAGATCAAAGTCTCCATCAAAAAATGTCACTAGGAGTTTTAAAATAGAAGACTGAGTTATGTTCATAATGGATAGTCACAAGAAGCCAATATGGTCTCAATTTCCAAAGCCATTGTCAAATTAGAAGGTGTAAAGTTAGTTAAAGTTTGTTAATATTTAATTCTTTTTTCTTTAACCCAAGGCCTTTGAGAGTTCAATTAATTTTACACTATTATTTTGTTTTAGAAAACCTAAACAGAAAAATGATCATGCAAAATTCACTTTGCATTTGGGAACTACTGAAAGCCAAAATAATCTATGAAATGTAGCAGTGAATCATTTTACCTGGTACATGTAATTCAGACTGATTTTTTTTTTATACTTGATGACTATATCAAGAGCATGGTTGTTTCTTTATATTATGGATACAACTTATAGCTCAACAATTTCAACAGTCATCTGAAGCTATCCTCTAAATCAGTGGTTCTCAAATTATGTCAGGACACCTGAAATTCTTATGAAAACAGATTGCTGCCCCTCGCTGGTAGCAAAGCTTACCACAGCGGCTTCAGTGCCAGTTCGATCCCAGGCCCAGGAGGTGACCCACTCCCTTCAGCAGTGTACTTCATCAATTTGCCTGCTGTGCTCCCCACTCTGTCTCTGGTGAATCCTCTCACCACCCCTGGCGCCCCTGGCTTGTACCCCAGTTCTGTATGCATAAATAAATAAATCTTCAAAAAAAAAATAAAAGATTACTGGGTCCCATTCTTTGAGCTTCAATTCAGTATATACCCAGTAGAATCCAAGACTTTATATTTCTAACAAGCTCCCAGGCAACACTGATACTGAAGTCAATGCTACTGATGCCTGGACCATAATTTGGAACCACAACTAGACAAATTCCATAATCAGAGAGTTTTCCAACAAAACTAAGGTTTTTGGAACTCCAATGAGTAATTCCTACCCAAAAAAGCAACGTTAAATCAAAATATTGATGAATAAATGCACATGTGGTTGCTTTATATTAAACATGTATTAAAAAGTGATAAATATAATTTTATCAACCTCTGAATCAATGACACTTTTTGATTAACAGAACAAGCATCCATTTCAGTAACTAAGGATAAGTAAAATCTTATAAAGATTCTCAGTAAAATATCCCCTGCATATACTACATAACACAGGATCTGGCCTAAATTTAACAGCAATAAATGGTAACTATTATACAATCATTTTTATTAAATTAATGACAAAACTTGCCATTGATATGTCTTCTTAGATCCAAATATATCTAACCAGATTTGCCTCATTACTACATCCTCTCACATGTTCAACACTCCCCAGGCTTTATTTTTCCAACACCTTTGACAAATTATTTCATCAAATTAGAGCCCTTTACCACCACCTCTCCTACATTAGTATAATCTTCTACAAGTTAAAATGCTACCTCCTGATACAAAGCCCCCCCTAGCTCCTCCAGATTTGAAGTTCTGCAAGCCTTACCCCTCATATTAGCATACAAAGTATTCTGACATATATATTTGTATTCCCTGCTTTATCCTCTGCTCAGCTCCTGACCACATCTGAAGCCAGAATTTTGTATTTTCTATATCCTTGACAACAGGAAAAATTTACTTCTTAGCATATCATGCAATATTTTGTACAATACTAGCTGTTCTGAAAAAAAGTGCTGGGGAAGGCTTTTCATTTCTTATGTAAATGACTATTAGATTGAGCTTGTTTATCCTTTCTAATTGTGGCAGTAGTTTGTTCCTTGCTCTTTTAGTGCCTACTAAAAATTTCAGATAGCATTATGCTATCATTCCCCTCTGTAATAAAGAGAGAAAAGGGGAGAGGAGAGAATGAATAGAGAATAAAGAAATTCCCTCATCCCAACTACCTATCACAGTTCTGGCACCAACATTATTTTTCAGGACTCCCAGACTTAACACCAATGAATGTTCTTAGCACTCCATTCTTACCTCCACATTTACCCATTCAACCATAATCATCCAGTCACCAACACTTGTTAACATTTCCTGTACATCTTTGGCTTCACCACTTTTCTTTTTTTTCCATTTCTATCAATCAGTGCAAAACCCACATCATCTCACACAGATTATTACACAGCCTTCTCATCTTTTTCATTCTCTTCCCTCTCATATTTATCTTAAATTCCAGGGTCATGGTGGTCCTCAAAAAAATATTGATTTTTTCATTATTTCTGAGATAGTAATTTTACTCATACCAATACTTCACACTCTGTCTACACATAATGTTTCAATAAATATTTGTTGAACTAAATTCTAATTATAATTTTGGCTGCTTAATATCTTTACAATATTATCATTACAATTTCCTTGGCCTAGAATTTAAATAGCTAATCAATTAAATCCATTTATCAAGCATCTCCACATAATTGAGGCAACACCCGATATTTTCAAAACCATATTGATTTTCATATATGTAAGAGAGGGATTTTAAACGAATTATCATGTACTAGATTCTATACTAAGTACTTTGTAAATACTGATTTATTTACAATATGAGATAGGTAAGATAGAAGAGGACATAGATTCAAAAGTTAAGGCATCTTGGCAAATTCACAAACTACTAATTCAGGTCTACCGTACTCAAAAGTTCTTGTCATTCCCACAACTGCATGCTCTTCCAAAGGTACAAAAATTCCAAAATGTTTAAGTAATAAAATAAGACAGATGATCTATAGCAGTAAATTAGTATTGAAAAGGGAAATAAGTAAATATAAGACATATTTTTACCAACTTCGATATTATATAGTTTTTTGTTTAAGGAAAAGTAGCTGTTAAAATTTATTTTCTCAAATTATACCATTGACAAATTTAAATTTATAGTTTACTTAAAATTTTGTTTTCCATTGAACTTACTTTTAAATGTCTAATATTTATACTCAATGTTTTCCTAAACTGTAAGGAAATAGATATTTATTAAGAACAACAGAAGACAATGGCAAAGGTATTTTGTAAACTTAATGTCCAATATTGAAGAAATACTAATTCTCAGAAATACTCCAAGAAAAACAAAAACTTACTGAGATATATCTCACAGAAAACAACCTTTAATCATCATCGAAGCAGGCTTTGTGCCCTCTAATTATTAATTGTCTCATATTAATAAAAGTCTTCTATTAACATAATATAAATTAGCAGAGCCTGCTATAACTTCCCACTCATTTTAAATGCCAAACTTTTAAACTCGTGCAACCTTAGATGAAACCCATGACTTTGCTAAATTTCAGTTTCCTACTACTTAATAGTACTGACATCCTAATACAAAAAATGCTGTTTCACATTTACTTGTACTTTGACACGTTCCTCATCAAATATATGTCCAACATATATACATATACTCATACACCTTCAGCTAACCTCATCTGTTTAAAACTAATTTAAATGAAAGAAATAGTTAGTTAATGACACTATTACTAAATGAATGCAAACCATCTTTTACAGGTATTACTCAAATAGGTATAGTAAAACCTTAGAGGTTTTTACTGTTTGCAACTAAGAAAAAACATGTTGACCTCACATTTCAGAAGTAGTTCACTGAAAATATATAGCAACATTCCCAGTCATTTAGTTTTACTATTGAAGAATATGAAATGTAAAACATTTACACAAAAAAATTGTATAAAGTAAAAGAGCATTTTTTGCCATTCTTTTTTCTCAATTTTATCATCTAAATTTTCCAAGAAAATATATTTTTCATGATGAGACATGATTATGTTCAAAATATTTGTATCAAAATGCACACCAATATAGAGATTACTATTATGACACAAGGATATAAAAACATTGCACAAATTTGTTTCATGAAATCATGCACTTCAGGCTATTTAAACAAACAAGAAATTTTCTAATCATATATAGAAAAATTATCAGTAAGTATGTTTTAAATACATATTTTGTTGGTATGTTAGTAATTATAATTCTGATATTTGGAATTCTTGAAACATTGTATTTCAGAATCTGAATTTATTATATGACAACCTTAACTGTATATATCATATTAATGTATAAAAGTCTATGTAAAGAAAACTTTATATCACCTAAAGCTTATTAGGTTAAAGAATTATTTTCTGAATCATGGTAAAGTTACCAGCAAAGCATTTATTAATTACAAAAACATACCTATAATTCTTAGTAATTTCCCAACATAGGGATATCAGTTTACATAAAGGACTTTCTTGAAGTTACCACTTAAATACACTATGATGCACTAATTTTAAAGTCACTGGTAAGTATTTCTGTAAAATAAAGAACAGATGCAACTCAATAAATACTGTGTTCTTCCTGTATGAAACCAAAAACAAATCAAATGAAAAATTACAAATAGAAGGGTCTGCATTACAGACTATTAAAATCATTAGCCTAGTTAGGATTGAAAAAAATAATAATAAACATTTCTCACTGTAATTGCAAGTAAGTATGCTCTAACTCTGTGGTTCTTAACCCTGGCTGCATACTAAAATCACCTAAAGAACTTTTTAAACAAACCAAGGCCTGGTCTCTACCCTTCTATCAAGTCTGTCAAGAAATTGGGATTCATTTATGGTAGACCCACACACCAGTAATTTTTTTAAGCAATGCCTAACTGAGTCTAGGGTAGCCAGGATTGAATACCAATAATGTTTGTTTTATAGGGGCCAGTCTAAGGGTAAAATATATACATAACACATATAACATAATGAAAGTGACGTCCTCTTTTCTACTCCTCTAATTCTTGTAATCACTTTCAGAGCAATGGTGGACACTTGGATCTTTTAGGAAATGTGTAGATTTTAAGGTAGAAATAGAAGGGACTTAAGAAACTGTTGAAAGCAGTTGCCACATGGCAGAAAATGCACAGAGAAGAACTGAACTGTCTATGCTAGTTTCTCCCTCAAATGACTGCATTCCCCCCCCCACTTTATTATGCTACTTGAAATTCTATCCCTTATACACTCAACTGTCTTCAACAACCATCTTCTTATAAAAAAAAAGTCTTGAGTTACCAGTTTGCATATAAACTTTGTTTAGTAAGATTTATCTTGCTAATACCAGGACAATACCAGATGGATTTAAGTGAACCAATGTTTTGACAGTAAAGATAGGAATACAAATAATACTTTAGGAAGTATGAAACACTTTGAAAAGCAATATATATCTAGGTGACTCAACAACATTTAGTGTGTTCAAGGAGCATTAGGTCAGTGAAAACATAAATGAATATATGAGTAGCTAGACCTAAAAACAGCCAAACCTAAAATTACAAAATTCTATGAAAATATCTAAAAAATGCATCTCCTTTACTTCTACAGTTCAATTCTCATAAGGCACAGATCTTAGTATAGCATGGCTAACATACAAATTTTAATTACATACTTTAAGACTAATAACTTCTTAAGTTGCTTTTAGGACTATATAGCTAATTTTTTAAGACCGGGAACCATTATAATTTGAGGGTGCCTGGATTATTTTAAGATAGGACACAAGTATCTTTATTAAATATTAAACATTAACTGTGTGCATTATTCAGCAGATGTTTAATCTCTAATAAACTGAAGTACAGTAAATTGCATTATTACTACAGTGAAAAAACTGTTGAGAGTAACTACAATGATCCAACTTTTACTTGAGAAGCATTTTAAAGCAGGCACAGCTAATGCAATACATATAGGCAAAGCTGTACCTTTAAATGTTCACATGTTTTTTAAATAGAAAAGCTGTAAATTTTTAATCCAATACACACAGGCAAAGCTATAGCTTTAAATGTTCACTTTTTTTAAAAAATAGAAAAGCTGTAAATTTGTAAGCTAAGCATTCATGACAAAAGATTTCAAAGTTTCCTAGAGGGAAAAATAAAAACAGAAATGTAAAAAGCATAAAAGAAAGGAAAAATAAAGTCAGAAACTGGTTCTTTAAAAAAACTAATAAAAGTAATTAACCTTTAGCAGAATAAATCAGTAACAGAAAAGGGAAGGCACAAATAGAAAACAAGAATGAGAAGAGGAGCGTAACTAGACACTAGAGAAATTAGGGATGAACAGGATATTAATGATAACGTTTATGCAAATAAATTTGAAAATATATATGTAATGGACAAATTCCCAGAATATTATATATTTAAGAGTGATTCAGTAATTTACAAATATTTTAAATAACTATTTGCAGGTGAAATAAAACTAGAAATGAAGCCCTAATCTTAATGTTTGATACAGACTTTGAGGTATATTAGTATGACATGAATATATCAAACATTAATGCTAACTTTGAGAAAGTCAGTTTTTCTTTATTCCAGTATAGAACAACAATCGACCATTCTCAACCAGTAACAACTGTTAGTAATAGATTTAATAAAGAAATAGCAAGATGATCATGAAAATACAAATGAAGCCCTACAGAGAGCCAGAAATACTAATGAAAAATAGAAATTCCAGATTAACAAGAATTCCTCTAAAACTTTTAAAACTTCCTTGAGAATCTGCTGGAAATTGTAAATGCTATCCCCATAAAACTGCAAATAAACACAAACTTTTGCATAGAAAAGTAAAGAATGTGAGGATCCCATTGATGTCGATATATAAAATTGGTAGGAGTTTCAGATAAATAAAACTTCTGGGCACCTAAGAATCAGTAAATGTAGCACAACAGGAAAAAAAAATTTATATGTAATCTCTGTGAAGTCAAAATAAAACGCAAACACTCCACTTAAAACGTCACTACTAATAATGAATTGAGGCAACTGGTGGTCCGTTTTTCGATGGAGAGGCTTAACTTAAGTTGTATGAATAACCAAAAGAAAAATACAGGTCTCCAAAGTAACATATCCTTCAAGATTTATCTCAAAGTACCTCTCTTATTAAACTTCACATGGCAACTGCTGCCAACCTTAAATCACTTCCTCTATAGCACATACATTACTGACATGTGTCCCGCAGAGTTATGTGTCTCATTCCTTCATAGGAAAGATTCTTGCAGAGCTCAGAATGCTAAGTTGTGCAGTCACTAAAACATGTGATCAACAAAGAAGCAGGGGTCTTAGTAACTACATGCTTTCAGGTATACTGACAGAAATCGCTGAAACAATAGAAGTGCTCTTGAATGAACAAAATAATTTATAATCAATGTTACTGTGTTGTCCAAGAGAAAAGGGAAAAAAAATAAGAAAAGAAAAGATACAGAATATGCTGATTGTGTCACCAAAAAAAAAAAAAAAAAAAGGAAGTAAAGCTTTGGAAAATACGTATAAACAATTTAAAAAGTCGAATTCGGGTAAATGTAAAAATGAACCTCAACTTCCAACTTGGATGCTACTTTAACAATATTCAAATGAACATTCTTTAACTACATTTTGACCTTTGCAGGATTAGCTTGTTAAGACATCAAAAGCAGTTTTACTTGTGAAAATTTTCATCAGTTTCCTCCAGATGTAAGAGAATCTCCTCGGCACACTCTAGGGAGGGAGCACCCGTGATTTTCTCCTTCACGCTCTGGAACAACTGCCTCAGCATCGCCTGCAGCACTGCCTCGTCCTCCACGGAGAAGTGAGCCATCACCTGTCAGGATCAAGCACCCACGCTCTTTAACCTGGGTCCGAACAAACCCCCCCCCCCCCACTGCGCACGCGCGTCCCCTCTCAGCCGCGGCCTGCACGCAGCGCCGTTCCCCAGGAGACGGCGCAGAGCGTTTGGGGGTGGGTACTCGGCTGCCCGCTCTTGGTTCGGAAAAAAAAAAATCACTTTACTCTCGGGGAAAGCACGGCCCCGCGAAGACCCGCCGTCGGTACTAACTGTCGGCTTTCGGTGCCAGTAGGGCTCACGCTTCCCGAACTAACAGCTAAAATGACATCCGAGAAGACGCTGATGGTGGGCAGGAACGGCGGGATGTCACGACTACGGGTGACGTCAGCACGTTGACGTGACTTCGTAGGTGGGAGGCAGAGCCTTTTGACAACCTGTAGGGGACTCCTAGAGGAAGGTTAAGGTATGCTTGCTCTCTCCATAGCCTCCTGGTTGTAGGTAAAAGTGAATGATGGAAGTGAAGCTGAAAGTAGCTTGAAAAGAGTTAATTTTATAGTGAATAGTTCTGAAATGCGGTAATGTTGCTTTCCTGTAACAGCTAATGCCTATCGTTTAATCCCTACACTTTCGGAAGCAACTTGATAGGAAGAAAACGCTCACTTCATCTAACAGATGCAAAAAGAAACTAATGATTCCAATACAATACAATAAAGTGTCATCTAGAGAAATGCACCAAGCAGTTGCTATGTAAACCCAGAATCAGCTTTTAACCCAACAGAAGATGAAAAAGGCAAAGAACAAACTGGACATGCAAAATGCAGGGCAGGGACCTGAAAAATTATAGCGTGTTCCAGAACTTGAATTAGCAAGGTTAGGAGGTGCAATATGTCACAGAATCTGTTGGGTCAGTTAGTTAGTATCCATTATCCAATGCTTAGTATGCCTAAAAGTATGAGTTTTCTTATGGTGGTCTAAACTTCTGATCTTCCTTACGTCTATTTTATATGGTAGACTTTTGCCAAGGTGCTGACTTGTGTTTCACACTGATAGTTTTTGTTGTTTCGCTCAGACCAGCAAACTGAGACTTACCAAAAAATGTAGAGTTAGTTAAGGACAAGGAAGAGAAAGCTAGGATTACCAGCATCTGTCACACAGTGGAAGACACTACAGTTCATAGTGAACTGTCTGTAGAGGAACATAGTAGATCTTGCTACTGAAGATCCCAATGGACAGCAGATTTACCACATAACCTCTGAAGTCTTTACCAGCTTTGGTCCCACAGGTTCTCAAATTCATTGATCCCAGTGGACTAAGTTCCTTCCCCAGAAGAGCCCAGGAATCCACAAACAGACAACCCACCTCTCTACTCTACAGCTGCTGGACTCCAGATGATAGCTGAGAACCCTATGGGTAACTCTTATCACAGGATGTACACACTTAGGAATTGCTTCTCCAAATGTGCACTTGCACACTGCCAGACATACTTGTCATTAGCACCTACTGCAGGGTACAGGAAAGGTGGGGCAGAGTCATCTGTACAGCCATTAGAGAGTGAGCTGGCAGCCAAGATCACCACTGCTTATTCTGAGCCCAAAGAAAATATATGGTACACACTTTGTAGCCATCATTGAAGCACCAGCAACCAACATGAAGTTCAATCCCTTTGTGACATTGCTATGTACTGTCCCACATTCATAGAAAGGTTATATCTTCTCTTCTTTACAAAGAGCTGAGACAGAAGTATAATGTTCAATCCATGCCCATCTAAAAGGATGATTATTTCAGAGAATAATACAAAGGGGGCAAATTGTCAAAGCAGTCCAGGTGTATAGAAAGAATATGTCATATACATTGAAAGAGTGGGAGAAAGTCAATGATGACATTGTTCATGTGGGCATGTGGGCATTCACCCAGCAAGATGGTGATCACTAGATTAAAACCATACAGGGACCACAAAAAAATCCTGGAACTCAAAGTGAAAAGTCTTTTCAAATAGGAAAGGAAGAGGGAAAATATATGGAAGAAACAAATGAGAAGATGCAGTACCAATCAAATACATAATTTTCATTAAAACTTCTAAATAAAATATAGGAAAATTCCTTGGTAGAAGTCTTGACAGAGATTTGTTTGGCTATGACCCCAAAAGCATTTGCATCAAAAAAAAACATAAATAAATTGGATACATAAACTAAAAAAGAACTTCTGTGCAGCAAAATAAACAGTCCAGAAAATTAAATGGCAACTCATGGAATATGAGAAAATATTTGTAAATCATATATCTGACAAGGATTTAATGATCAAATTACCAAAAAAAAAGACAAAGCAAACCTCTACTATGTGGACAATATAATACTGAACTACTATTGGGTTAATGAGGAAATCAAAGAAGAAATTGAAAAATACTTTGAGACAAAGAAGAAATTGAAAAATACTTTGAGACAAATGAAGAATAACCCAGTAGAGTCTACAGGGCACAGCAAAAGAAATACTAATGAGGGGAATATATAGTAATACAGGTCCACATAAGAAACAAATAAATATTCTTATTTCTCAGTTTAAAGAACAAGGTGAACAAACAAAACCAAAAGCCAGTAGAAGGAAGTAAATAATTAAAATTGGAGGTGAAATAGAAATCAGAAAGTTCAATTATTAATGAAACCAAAAGATGTTTCTTTGAAAAAATAATAGACAAATCTCAAACTACATTCACAAAGAGAAAATAAATAAATAGAATCAGAAAAATAAAAAGACATTCCAGAAATTCAGAGGATCTAAGAGATTGCTAATAAACATGTATGCTTGTTTGTTGAATAACCGGAAAGATGGACAAATTCTTAGAAATATTAACCATATGAGAATTAATCAGGAATAAATAGAAAACCTGAATAGACCAACTGCAAGGAAATCCCAACAATAACCAAATGTCTCCCCCCACCAAAAATAATAATAATAATAATAACAAAAGACCATGATCATTTTCACTAATGAGTTCTACCAAACCTCCAAAGAAAGGAAATAGTTCCAAATACATTTTACAATACTCTTAAATCAAAACCAGACAAAGACATCAAAAAGGAAGATGACCCAGTTCTTTGTTAAACATTGGTATAAAAATCCTCAACAAAATCTTAGGAAACCAAATTCAATAATGCATTAAAATGATAATAAAAAATGACTGAATAGAATTCACTGAGGGACACAAAGATCGTTCAATAATCATCTGACAAAATTTTCAGACCAGGGATGGTAGTCTAATAGTGATTTAATTTTTTCAAAATGTAAGTTGCTTCCTATGTCCTAGGCTTCAGTAAAGTCAGAGATTTCACTATACACCTTCACACCAATGAACTGGAAGGGGTAAGTTCACAGGCTGGAGAACAGGAATCAGATGCTGTTACAGAAGTCTTAAAAGTCAATCATAAAAACTAGAAGACAGTTTCTGAAGGGAAAATGCTGCTTAAGTTTGAAGATACACAAAAACTATCAATTAACTACAGAGGTTGAAAACTGACATTCTCATATAAGCAAGTGCCAGGAAATTTTGCTTCCAAAAACCCTTCCTCAGGAAGCTAGGAAAGACATGCTCTATCAATGAGAAAGTAAATTTTAAAATGTGAAAATCATAAAGCCCAGAAAATAATAAACCTTTACACAGAAGAGAAAGAAAGTATTTCTTAAATGATGGTGAGTGGATGGCTCAAGACGGCAGCTAATAGCACATGGCCTGAGGTGAACCACCTCACAGAAGCACGAAGATACAGAGCACTTGTCATTTTTCTAAGACTTAAGGAAACAGTCTTATCTAAATTTTTAATGCTATGAAAAGTTTCTTTTAGCTTTTTTTGTTAAAGACTTTTGTTAGAGTTTCAAGAAGAATTACTGATAGTTATATAAAACTACACCCTTCAAAAGTTGAAGCAGTTATTAATTTCAAGAGGAAATGTAACTGTCATGCAACTTAGGTCTCGGCAATAAGTACTATGTGCACAGAAACATACACAGCCACAGCCTTAACAACCTAAAAATCTAATCAAAAAATGTACCACATGAATGGAAGGCAGTTTATTAAAGGCAACTAATTACTCCTCATCCATAAGGAGATCAATTTTATAATGCTAAAATTTATAGAATGAAAAATGTAGTTTTGAAGATATAGAAATAAATTGATAGAAGCAATTTAAGGGTTGATAGTTCAAATGTTATTTAGAAATAAGGAGGGAATGAGGCATTTCCTCTTACATTATAAACCTACATTGTGATTTGACTTTTAAATTATGCATGTGTATTACTTTGATAAAAAATAATTTACATAGAGCACATTTACTTAAAAATACAGAAATTTATCCAGGCCAAGTGAAAAAAATCATATATTACTAGACTAACAGGGATTAGTTTTATCTTTCCTTTAACTTATGTTTCCTGGGGACTGAAGATCTCCAGCTGTGGCACTAACTTCATAAAAGAATCCAAAATACATGTTTCACACATGTTTCATGCCTATGAGACTTAATGATTGTGTCTGTGTCTTGAACAGCTGTTTATCCCTCATGGTATAGTACAATATATATGTGACCATACAAACCCATCCCTTCAAGAAGGACTTAGGATACAATTTAAGAGAAGTGGTTTCTGTTGGAAAGTTACATAGATATAGCTAGTTCACCTGATTCAGAACTCACCAAACTAGCCTTTACTCGGTTTACCTTGATGCTTTCCTACTGGGAAAAATGCATTAGTTGGTGGAAATATTTCTTGTAAATTAGTAAGCTCACTTCCACAAATAAGCAAAAACAAAGGAGATAAATATATGCTTGTTCTACAAAGAGGAAAATAAAATTAAAAAATACACAAAGAAATATCAACAAAGAGAGAACTAGAAAAAGACTTGACTTTTCAGTCCTTCAAGTTTGACTTTGCATCCCAAACTTCTTTACATGAAATTCCCCTGGAGCCTGCAAATATATTACATTTTTACTTTACCTACTTAGAATTAATTTCTGTTTTTTCAACTGTTGCACATTGGCAAAAATATTAACATTTTTTAGAATTGAAACACTGTGTTAGCCTCTAGTGTCAGACTTGTAAACTCTCCAGGAGAGTGCAGGGCTGTGGAATGTCTTGGCAGTCAGCCAACTTCAGCAACCTTCCTTCAGTTGACAATATTTGTGGATTTGCCTATTCAAATAAAACAACTCTAATAAAAATTCTACAGTAATAGTCTTCCTTGTACAAAGAAAACTTTATAAACCCTGGAGATTTTAATTAGCAGTAAAATGTGAAATACTGTTACTGAATTTTGTTTCCTCAGCCACTTTTTT